TCGGCGCGGCCGGCGCCGTGAGCCCGGGGCTGTGCGAGCGCGCGCCGGCCGCATCCCGGGCCTTGGGTTTGTGCGTTTCTCTCACGGAAGGGCTCGAGCCCTCGAGCCGCCTTTTGCTGGTTAACGGGGATGAGCATCTCATGGACGGGGCTGCTCGGCCTGGCCTCAGTCTGCGATCCTCACACCCGGGACGACAGCCACGCGCCCTGGCTCCTTTTTTTTTTGGTCCGGTCGTGGGGCCTGGGCGCTGTCCCTCAGCTCTTCAGCTCCAGGCGAGCGCGCTACCACTTGAGCCACAGCGCCACTTCCTGCTTGTTCTGCTTATGTGGTGCTGAGGAATCGAACTGAGCCACCTTCCCAGCCACCTCAGTGGCTTTTAATTGCGGTCTGGTGGATGATGCGTTTGGAGGTCCCCTGGCTAAGTGTGACACTGGGCAGGAGCAAGGGAGGAAGACTGGAGCAGCCTGGTTATCTTCTGAAATAGAGGCAGACGGCCTGGTGGTAATGGTGGTGGAGAAAACAGGAATTAAGACCAGATTGAACAGCAGCGTGAATGCTTTGGATGTTTCCTCGGTGGGGATCCGGGGAGGACGTCCCTGTTGGGCCCTGGTAACTGACATGCCCAGCAGACATTCAGTGGAAGTGGTTGGAAAGGCACTGGAGCCTACTAAGCCTGACTGTGGTGCCTTGAATATAAGTGGGAATCACTGAGCTAAGATGATACTGCAGGCTGATCAAGACACAGCTTTTATGGTTTTCCACACTGGATGTGAGAGCCGAGGCGGGGGCCCAGTCTGGTTACTCCACCTGAGCGCCCAGCACTTGGCGTGGAATGAAACACAGGTGGCCAAGATTACAAAACACTGATTGAATGGAGGGCGAGTAAATTAATGAGCAAACATCCCAGGTGTTCAGAGCTGGTGGAGGGGATCCTGGGCTGTGGTCACAGCCAAAGCCTGAGGTCCACCAGCTGCTCCTGGGTGCTTGATCCTTCCAGAAACTCAAAAAGAGGATTTTAGGGGACTTTGAAACAGCAGAATGGAGACGTGAGGGGTGGGCTTTGATGAAGAATTTTAAACTACTGCGTGTGTCTTTTGAAAGAATCTCCAAAAGTGATTTTATTGAGAAAGTGCATTCTAGGGAAGAGAGACACTGGAGTTGAATACCTCCAGTTTTTCCTTTCAAGAAAGAAAATGAAGAGCAGCACATCTGGCTGGAGAATGTGCGGTGAATTACTTATTGAGAGAATGGCTGAGATCGAGATGAAAGACATGTACTTTATGACTTTTTTTTTTTTTTTTGGTCAGTCGTGGGGCCTGAACTCTGGGCCTGGGCGCTGTCCCTCAGCTCTTCAGCTCAAGGCTAGCGCTCTACCCCTTGAGCCACAGTGCCACTTCAGGCTTTTTTTTTCCTGCTTATGTGGTGCTGAGGAATCGAACCCAGGGCCTCAGGCATGCCAGGCAAGCGCTCTACCACGGAGCCACCTTCTCAGCCCCATGACCACATTTTTTTTTGCTTTTGTGTTTTTCCTTTCAGGAAGGTAAGGTGTATTTTGAGCACACTAAGCTGTTGTGTTAAAGAAGGGTGAAGTTTTGATTTACCTGTGACTGGGAGTTTTGGGGCAGGCAGCATTTGTTTGAATATGGTGACGTCTGAAAGATCGTATGTTAAGCCTCAAGGAAAAAAGAAACTCAGAAAAGAGACAGAGTTGATGCTTTCAGAATGTTTAGCACGTGTTTAATCAGCTCCGATGAACAGTAAGGAGTTTAAGACATGTACTTTTAGTTGTAACTTCTCAAGTCCTTCAAAGCAGACCAGACTTAGATCTGTTAAGGATTTGTTTTTTTCAAGGTAGTTAGCTTTTATGTGATGTCCTTAAAGATCAGAGAGGAAGTAAGGCCGGTCACAGGAGTTCCCAGGGCAGCCGGGGGCTTTGTGTTTAGTATGTAGGGTAACTTCAGAAAATGTCATTTAAAGTAGGTGGTTACTACAATAATTTTAAGCCTTTCTGTTGTTTTTCTGATCCCAGGGCTTGAACTCAGGGCCTGGACTCTGTCCCTGAGCCTCTTTGTGCTCAAGACTAGCACTTGAGCCACAGCGCCATTTCTGACTTTTTCTGTGTATGTGGAACTGAGGAACAGAACTCAGGGCTTCATTCATGCTAGGCAAGCGCTCTACCGCTGAGCCGCACTCTCAGCCCTAAACCTTTTTTGTTTTTGTTTTTTTTTGAGGGCTTTTTAATGGAGTGTTAGGTTTCTTGCTATAAAAGCAAAGAAGACAGGTTCCATGTTTGAAGAATTTCAGTTAAATGAGCAGTACTCAGATGATTACACTGACTAGTGATGAAGTTATTTACTAAACAGGAAGCAATTATAATCTTTAGATAGAGTTGAAGAAAGCCTGGCAGAAACAGAGCCATCTCAGATTTTACCACCCACCCGTCCAACATTGAATGTCTCCATTGTGCCAACTACCTGTACAAGCCCCTTCTTCTGAATATATTCAGTCCTTGTGGTTATTGGAGACTCCTCGGTGTTTTCCTGAGAAAGGGTCTCATTATGTAGCCTGGGCTGGCCAGGAACTCTCAACCCTGCTTCAGCTCTTGAGGGATGGGATTATAGGCGCCGACTACCCGGCCCGGCTGAGTTTCTATTTTTTCAGAGATTGCATTTTAGTTTGAAAAGCATTTGCAGGGTTCTGCTATTCCTTGAACATTATAAATTCATTTAAAGTTTCTGGAGAGATTGTGTGTGTGTATACACACAACGTTTTGTTTACAATTTTTGTTTTGTTTTTTGTTTTTGGGTCCAGTCATAGGGCCTGAACTCTGGGCCTGGGCGCTGTCCCTCAGCTCTTCAGCTCAAGGCTAGCGCTCTACCACTTGAGCCACAGCGCCACTTGCGGCTTTTTTCTTTTTGCTTATGTGGTGCTGAGGAATCGAACCCAGGGCCTCATGCATACAAGGCAAGCGCTCTACCACTGAGCCACCTTCCCAGCCCCTTGTTCACAATTTTTAAGTGTTTTTGGTGTATGGTAATGTAAAGGTTTCTTATTTTACATATCAACCTACGTGAAAATTTTGAATTTGGTTTTTAGTGCTTGTTTGGCTGTTGATTGACTGTGACACTGGGTAAATAATGTCGTTTTTAAAACCCGAGTCCCTCATCACCTTTCCAAAGATGCTTGCAGTCCTGTTTCCCTCGGGAATGCTGGGAAGGGATGCGTTGTGCTTTCACGTCATGGCTAGCTGCGGTGCCAGGCACTCCTGGCCTTTTGTGGTGAGCGCGGTGCACGGCTGCGTAGCTCTGCAGCCGTGCGCTGTCCTCTGGCACGAGCCCTGCTGTGTGACGCCGGGGCCGGGCTCTGTGTCTCCACAGGGCACCAACAGTGACTTGCCATTTGTGCTGTTCCCTTTTGCAGTTAGCCTGTAAGTACTGGGCGCCCCACATCAAGAAGAAGTCTCCTTTTGATATAAAGGTAAGGTTTTGGGTTGCTGCTTGCTCTCTAATGTTACAAACATAAGGAAAACAAAAATGTTCTCTCTCTCGTTTTTTTTTTAGTTAAAAAGACAGTTTTACTCATGGTAGGAAATTTGGAAAATAAACTACACATAATAATCATTAAATTAATAATTAAATTAGCAGAGATAACTTCAGTTATTTAATTTTCTGAGAGCGTTACACAAATACATTTGTACATATGTTACTTAACCGTTCTCTTTACAAAATCTTAGATTATTTAAGATGTATGTTATGTGAAATATTTTTGCAAGTATGATGAAATTTTCATGCCAGCGTTCTAGCCGTTCATTTAAGGTGGAATCTGTTCTCTTGTGGTGTGAGATTGGAAACTGAGATTGTACCACTTGAGCCACTGTGGTACTTCTGGCTTTACGTTGGTTGGAAGTAAGAGTCTCATGGGCTTTTCTACCCAGGCTGGCTTGGATCTGCAGTCCGTATGTCTCCGCCTCCTGAGCAGCTGAACGGCATGGGATGCCCCGGCACCCTGATGAAAAAATACCTAAGTGTCATTTTGATATTAATATCTGAAAGTCCCAAACCTGCTCATTTTGTGTAATCTCAGAAGTTGGAATCCATCTGTTTAAGATTTGAAATAGTAAACATTTTCATATTTTTGGTACAGGTTATTGAAGATATATATGAGAAGGAGATCGTCAAATCAAGGTAGGCTTGACTTACACAACAGAGTTTGTAGGTCAAGTGTGATCTGTTTCTGGCTGTCTTCTGCATGACAGGCTAGTTGAATACTGGGGAGACTGCGCAGCAAGGGCTGTGGAGCCACTGTGGGGAGCGCAGGCGGTGCCTTGCGGCTGGGTGTGGAAGCGCGCCGCTGCCTCTGAAGCGGATGGCTGCCTCCAGCAGTTCTGATGGATTTGAGGAGTCTGATGTGTGGCTTCATTTTAAAACAGAAGATCCTCAACTGCACTTAAACATAAGAACTCTGAAGCATTTACACATCTTAAAAAGTTACTTTTCTATGTTTTTAGGTTTGCCATCAGAAAGATAATGCTGCTGGAATTTAGGTAAGTTAAAAGGCATCAGTTTGATGACCTGCAAGATTTAGCTGTGCGTTGTGTAATTCTAAGTAGTGGTTAGGTGTGGCTCCATGTGAGAGAGCATGTAATGAGCACGCCGAGACCCTGGGTTCAGCCCTCAGCACCAGCAACCAAAGTCGATAAATCTGTGGACAGATTATCCTATATTAGTTACACAGAGAGCATTCCATCATTAATGTGTTTTCTTTGTATATGTGATTTGCTTATTTATATATATATATACACACACACACACACATAGGGTTTTTTTAATTTATTTATGTTTTGGGTTGATCATGGGGCTTGAGCTCTGCGCTTGGGAGCGGTCTCTTCAGTTCAAGGCGAGCTTTCTACCACTTGAGCCACAGTGCCACTTCTGCTTTTCTGGTGGTTCATGACTTTCCTGTCCGGGTTGTCTTTGAATCGTGATCCCCAGATCTCACCCTCCTGAGTAGAGAGGATTACAGGCATGAGCCACCGGTGCCTGGCTTGATGATGTATTTTTAGCTTTTAAAGATAATGTGATGTGAAGGATATTTTGTATTTGAGGTTTTTCTCACTGGTTAGTAACATTGCTGAGCAGTTTCTGTCCTTGATGTTTCTAGTGACCTGTGGGAGTAATTAGGTACATCCTCAATACCTCTTGCAGCCTGGCCCCAGAAGCCCTGAGGATGTGGTGTTGGACCAGTGCGGCCTGGAATCCCTGCCCTCTGGTCCAGAGCAGGAAATGTCAGGGCCTTGAAATCTGACTTTACGTTGAATCCCACAGTCCTTAGGTCTCAGCCTCCTGAGTAGCTGGGATTGCAGTGAGAGCCACTGTTGCCCTACGCTAAACCTTCGCATTTCTGAAAGATGCTTTTCCTGTGGTTTAGGGCCACTGCCTCCAATCGCTTTCTTCCTAACCATGCTTGTGATACGTTGATTTAGAGCTGATAATTTGTCACATACTTTTCATTTGTACTTAGTTGTGGGTAAGAGACTTTATTGGGGCCTTTGATATCGTTTTCTACACGTGACTGCCGCCTCCCACAGGTGCATTGTGTGCATGCACACCGGTAGCACTCCCTTAGACTGTGGCCAACTCTGAAGGAATCGCAGATTCGCAGATTTTCAACGCACTTTTAGGAAGTTAAGGGTATGTTTTCCTAGGTGAGGGCTGCAGTACAGTGACTGATGGTGAGATGTTGGGTGCTGTTTTGCTCTTCACAGCCAATACCTCGAGAACTATCTCTGGATGAATTACTCTCCAGAGGTGTCCAGCAAGGCCTACTTGATGTCCATCTGCTGCATGGTGAACGAGAAGTTCAGAGAAAACGTCCCTGCATGGGAGGTAACGGAAGACCTGCCCCTGGCCTTCCTCCCGGGGTGAATAAGTACACTTGGGGGCGAAGCTCTATCCAGTAGTAAGGGAAGGAATGTGAACCAGACATTGAGGCTCATGCCTGAAACCCTAGCTACAAGAGACCAAGATCTGGAGGATTGAGGTTCCAGACTCCGTCTCCAAAATAACCAGCAAAAATAGGGCTAGGGTTGTGGCTAAAACGAATAGATACATGAAAGCCAAGGCTAGTTTTCTTTTGATTTCAGTACTTTTTTCCAAGTTCCTGTGACTAAAAAGTGATCCAGATGAAGTTAGTTTTGAGTGTTCTGGAAATAGTGAGTGGCCTGGTTGAAGGTAAAGCTGGGGACTTTGAATAGAGCCGGGTGAGGTCTGACGTGGGGGTGGTGCTGTTCTCAGTCCACGGAGCACAGGGTGAAGTGTGGGTCTTGCGTGTTGGGGTGAGTTGTGCCACATGCTTGTCGGAGAGCGTAGAGGTGCGTCATCAACTTGGATGCTGTAAAGGTGGTTTGGTGATTAGGATTTGATAGAGGGAAAGGACAAAGGAGATTTGCCTGGTCCACAGGGGTGTGTCCAAGACCCCCCGGAGGACAACTGGCTTGGACCATACTGAGCCTGCATGTATTCCATCCTTCCTTGTACACACGTGTGTGGTGATCACTGGATAGATGGGCACAGGGAGAGATGAACAGAACTCATGGTGAGCGTGTACTCCATCCTTCCCTGTACACGTGTGCGTGTGCATGTGTGAGTGATGATCAGTGGATCCGGGTGAGCAGAGGAGAAGCCCAGGGATGTGTGGGCAGTGTGAGCCTGTGGTAGTGACGGGAAAGGCAGTGTGGGGGAAGAGACCCGCACCAGAGACGCTGCTGGTTAAGTGCAGGGAGACAAGGCACAAAGGAGAGAAGAGGATGAGGGTTGCAGGGGTGTGTCCGACTTGACCCGGGGTGCAGGTGGAAGCCGTGGGGAGAGCGTGCACCCCGGGACCTGGGGGGAGGCTGGGAAGTCCGGTGCTCTTCACTGCTCATGTGAAGAGCTCATGCAAGCCAGAAACGCTGCTCCTCACCTGAGTTGCAGTTAAAAGAATTTGTTTTCCAAAACAGTTCGTTTTGTTTGGATCAGAGCAGTGAACACATTTCCGATTGTTAGGGGATCAGCCTGGTGCGGTGCAGACATGTCTGCGGGGGCGTCCCCGGGCCGCTGGCCTCTGCCACCGGTGTGGCCGCGCGGTGTGGCCGCGCACTGGTTTGTGCTCAGGTGATGCTCCTCCCAGACGCTCGGGAGGCGGCTCTGACTTTACGGGCGGGTCAAGCTGGGCTGCTGTTCTTTCTCGCCAGACGTTTAAGAAGAAGCCGGATCACTTCCAGTTCTTTTTCAAGCGCATCCTGACAGCGGCACTGGCTGAGACGGACGGCGACTTCTCCCTCCACGAGCAGACAGTGCTGCTGCTGTTCCTGGACCACTGCTTCAACAGCCTGGTGACTGCCCTTCTCTCCAGGGGCTTGGTGGGGGGAGTTCTGCTTGAGGGTAGTTTTGGGGTGACCACTAGGCCCATGGCTGCGTCGCAGTAAGAGACACCATAGCGTGTCCATGGAAAGGGAGCCCCGAGCAGCATGAGATGCCAGCTGATGTCCATAGACAGCATGGCAGTGAGGCCGTGCGCTTTCTCTCCTCTGCTCGGCCTTGGCCCGGGCCTGGCCGGTTAGTCAGCAGCAGAACCAGAGCCCTTCCCCATCCAGGCCAGTCTGTGTGGTCCCTTCATCCTTCCTCAGATTGTCTTGTCAGTAGTGAATATGCACGCGAGCTCTTCAGGGTGGCTGTCTGAAGCGTGACACACGTGTGGTAGAGTGAAGACCTTGGCGGTGCCGGAGACCTGGGTCTGTGAAGGCCACTGTCCGCACTGGTCCTTGGCATCGACGAGCCCTGAGCTCACGGTCAGGACGCTCACCCCGTCCTGAACGTCTGGCTCACACAGGCACTGTGTCGGTGAGACACAGCGCGGCCCCACGCCGCCAGGAACATTGGGAAGCTCTTGCCTTGTATAAACAGGAACCACCAGAAAGAGAGCACGCGCAGGAAGGAGCGGCATCCTCCCGGGCACGGGGGGGCCGTGGCCTGTAGATGGAGCCCAGCACAGCTGTGGGGAGGTGCGTGCTGGGCACTGCCCGCATGCCCGGCGTCTGCCCGCTGCCCTGCCTCGGGGCCGCGGGCGTCTCTGAGAGGGAAGCGCTGCCAGGCTGGGGTCCTCGCACGACCACGTCAGTGCACACGGAAGCCCTGGGGCGATCGTGAGCTTGTCTTCTTTGTGCTTAACAGGAAGTGGACCTGATCCGAAGCCAGGTTCAGCAGCTCATCTCCCTCCCCATGTGGCTCAGCCTGCAGCCCGTGAGTATGCGTGTGGAAGTCGCCGCTGTGCGGCCCGGGCACTGGGGAGGAGCTGCCGGTGTGGCTCCCGCGCGCCTGGCGTGGCGTGGGTGCTGCTTCCCTCGCACCTCCCTCTGCCCTGGCTGGCCTGGGTGCCGGCCTCCGCCAGGCTGCCATCCTCCCGGGTGACAGGTGCTCAAAACCAGCGTGAAGACGGTGAGGTGTGGCTCACACATCTGTTCCTGTTGGACGCTAGCGGCTCACACCTGTAACCTTAGCTCCTCCGGAGAGTGAGAGCTAGTGGGTCTCAGTTCAAAGCCAGCCTAGGCAGAATAGTCCAAAAACCTCAGAAGAAGGTCAGACGGTCCGGTGGCAGTGAGTGCATAGCACGCAGGGAGGGGGGGAGGAGGCCACAGACAGATGGGGAGCAGAGTCTCTCCCACCCTGCCCCTCCCACGGGTTCCAGAGGGAGCACACACCGCACGTACAGGCAGCACTGGATGACGTGGCAGCGGGCCACGGCCCCTTCACTGAGACCTGCTGCTTCATAGTGTGTGTGTGTGAGGCTGGCAATCCTCCTGCCTCCCCGTGCTGGGGCTGCGGGCGTGTCCCACTCGCTTGGCCTGCATCAGTTACGGGGTGAGAGTATTGTCGCTGCTCTGCGTGGGGTCACGCACCCCTCGTATCAGATTCCCTGTCCCATTAACACAGTCACGGATGAGCTGTGCTGACAGTCCAACCCTCACTTCATTTTTGGTAGTTGTCTACGGATTTGGCATTTCAGTGATTCTGTCGATAAATGTTTTTATTTTTTTTAATATTTTTCATAGTTTCAGGAATGAGCAGTTTGATGGCGAGCATACTGAGTTGTTTTTAGTGGCGTTACTCATTTCCTAGTTGTCCAAGTCTCTCATTCCCTCCCTGGCAGTCCTGTCTTAGGACCCTTTCAAGCATTGGCATCATCTTCGTTGTGAAGCTGAGCTTCCGGCGGTCTAATGCCACATCTGTCTTTCAGGCACGGCTGGAACTGGAATTAAAGAAGACACCTAAGCTCAGGAAATTCTGGAACCTGATTAGAAAGAATGATGAGAAGATGTCTGCGGAAGCGAGGGAACAGTAGGTGGCCACACGGGGCGGGCTGGGGCGGGGGCTGGGGTGGGCGGGGCTTGGTGGGAGTAGAGGGTCCAGCGTCATTCGGCTTTGGGCTTCAGTGCTGGTGGCTAGACCTGGGACCTGTGCCTGTCAGGTGGGGGCTCCACCGCCGAGCCGCTGCCTCACCCCTACCAAGGCTTTCCCGGCCTGCGCCTGACCTCCCACTCTGCCGGCCCTGAAAGGGTCCCTGTGGCTCGGCGTCTCTCAGGCCACCCTGCTGCGCAGATGTCTCTGTGCCGTTTTGGTTTTGCACCTCCTCTAGCCTGATGAGATCCGAGTGCCCACCCTTCCCGCTGCGTGCGCTTCCTTCGCATTTCCTCCAGCCCTTCTCCCCCTGGGCCTCCTCCCTCCATTCCAGCCAGGGCAGCCTGGCGCCACCCTCTGGACACCTGCTGCGCTCTGAGCTGAGACTGCCGCCCACCGCTGTGGTCAGGCCACCCTTGTGGTCAGGCCGGCGCGGCCGGCAAGGTTCCGCTCTGGGTGCTGTGTGACTGGCGGGGCTCCGTGTGAAGCAGGAGCCGCTCCTGCTCCCGCAGGGCGGGGCTCGGCGTGTGAGGACTGGGCACAGGCTGCGGCCCACAGCCTTGAGTCGGTCCTGCAGGCGTGTCGTGACTCAGTGCTGCGCACAGTGCGGTTCACGGCTCAGAAGGATCTTAATGGTTTCCCTCCTGTATTTCCCACAGGACTGGCACACTCGTCCACACTGTCCAGTACCTAATAAATGTTGGGAAAAAATAGAAATGAGCAGAAAACTGGTTTTTGAGAAAAGGTTGAATTTTAGCCATTGTAGTACTCAGTGTAACTGCATTTAAATGTTCAGTGGCCGAGGTCAGTGGAAGTGCGGCTGCGGTGTGCAGTTAGCGCTGGCCCTGCAGCCCGCAGACAGGCTCTTCCTCTAGTGTAGCACTGAAGTGACAAAGACCCCTGTGTTCCATTTATGGTCTCGGTGTCAGGAGAAAAATAGAAGATGAGCAGTGTCAGAAAAGCACGTTCAACACTTGGTTTCAAAATAATTTGGTGCGTGTTCTTTGGTTTTAGGGCCTACCGAGAAAGGAGATTTCTTTCACAGCTCATCCAGAAGTTCATCTCCGTGCTGAAGTCAATCCCACTTTCTGGTAACTGTTCTCTGTGGCTCATCTGGGAACTGAGGGAGATGTTGTTCTGGAACTTTCTCCTCATCTAAACACGTCCCTCAGGATGATTTTAGAATGTGAGGACAATGTCTTGGCTGCTCACCAGGACTGCCTGGCGCAAGTCTCCAGCGGCACCAGAGGCTCGAGGGAAGGTCCTTAGAGCTAGCAAATCCTTGCTGTATTTGCTTCCTGGAGTCAGGTTCTGAACCAGAATACAGTTGTGGAAAGATGGCTCTGACCACTGTGTCACGTGTGTGGGAGAGAAGGCCTTGTCAGGTTTCAGCTGCATGAGGGACAGTTACATGGATGGTAAAACAGCCGTTAGACAATGCTCCTTCACTGTCCTTAAACAGCCGTGCAGCCTAGGTGAAGATAGCCACACACTTCACAGATGCACATAGTCATTCCCAGCTGTTCTTATCTAGGGTCTGAGCTTTATGTAGAATGTTAACAGAAAAAGTTGAAGGAGGAGAGTCCAGCTGTCATTTCCATATGAGAGTCAGGGAGGTATTCGCGTTCCTTTTATGTGAAGCCTTCCATCCTCCCATGCACTATAAATAAGTACAAGTCATGAAGGTACTTGCAGGGTGCACTTACAGGGTGCTAAAAGTCGGGCCTCCCCCCCCCCCCCCCCCCGGGGACCAACGGCTGCAGGCACTCAGAGCTTGTCTGCGCGGCAGTGACGGCTCCTTTTTTTTTTTTTTTTTGTGATAGTCCTGGCACTCCAACTCCTGGGTGCTGTCCCTGAATCTCTTTATGCTCAAGGCTAGCGCTCTACCACTTGAGCCACAGCGCCACTTCAGGCTTTTTCTGAGTAGTTTATTGGAGATAAGAGGTTCACAGACCTTTCTTCCTGGGCTGGCTTCAAACCAGGTCCTCAGATTTCAACCTTCTTAGTAGATAGGATTACAGGTGTATGCCAACAGTGCCTGACCTGAAGTTGCTATTTTTATTGTATTACCAGAAAACAAAATTCTTAGACTAATGCTGAACGTTAATCAAGCAATTTCAATTTGTTGGCAATATACCAACACAATGGTGATTTTTAAGGTGTACGGAGAAGTCACAAATGATAATTTTGTTGAATATTTAAAGTATAATACTTAGAGCTCTTCGTAGGGAGAGGCTTGGGAGAGGATATGTTAGGTGAGGTAAGCTGTACTCGGGCACAAGTTGCATGGTTCTCCTTATTCGTGGAAACTAAAATGTGCCTATAACTTAGAAGTGAGCGCTGGGTGGCACCCAAGCCATTGCACATGAATTAACTGGCTGGTAATAGAATCTGTGGAAAACAAATAGTATAATTCTTTGGAAGGACTAAGTCAAGGCCTAACGAGATGAGTACTAGGAAGTGGGTACTTGCAAGCAGGGAGGATCCAGAGGATAGGGAAGAAGAATGAGCAGGGAAGCGAGTGGAGTGCAGACCTGAAGGCTCTGTCTACACTACAGAATGCAGGCCCGAAGGCATTGTACAGAATGGGGAAGGGAAGGGGTGGGGTGGGGTGGGGTGGGGTGGGGTGGGGTGGAAGGGCGGGAGGCGTGGTACACCGAAACTGCTTTGTTAACTGGAAAAACTCAATACACCACCTAAACATTAAGAAAAGCGAGGGGTGGGGAGACATCGCTCAGGAGCCCTGTGTTCGTTAACGGTGCTGTCCAATGGCAGCTCCTTGACCAGTCCCTAAAAGTAGAAGCGTTAAAAAATTATATGGAGCACAGATGGGTTCTCAAAAGTTCTCAGCAGGTCTGTGTGTCACTGGCATTTGACTGTCAGAGTAGTGCACTGCTCTTGTAAGCCGTTGTGTTAAATCCCCTTACGCATGGTAGAAGAGGCAGTGCACGTGCAGCAGGGAGGGTGGTGTGAAGGGGTCTCGCTGGTGCGCCCCTTCCCGCCTGGCCTGCGCCCCCTGCCGGTGGAGGTGTGCAGCGGGGAGGGTGGTGTGAAGGGGTCTCGCTGGTGCGCCCCTTCCCGCCAGCCTGTGCACCTTCGTGGTGTTTGTGCAGTGAGGTGAGGCGCAGGCGCTTTGTAGGTACTTGGCAGCTTTGCAGCAGCACTCCTGGCTAGTGATGTTCTGACACGTTCCCCCCCTCGCCTAGAGCCTGTCACAATGGACAAAGTTCATTACTGCGAGCGGTTCCTCGAGCTGATGATCGATCTGGAGGTGAGCATGCGCACCGACTCCACGTCGTCCCCTGGTCCCCGTGGGGCGCCCTGCCCCCGCTGGCCTCGGCCTCCTCGCGGCTTGCCGGCGCCTGGCGGGTTGCATGGGCTGCCGCTTGTCGTCAGTTTGGGTTGGTTTTTTTTTTTTTAAGATTTTTGAAGGCGTTTTTGCCCTGTGAGGTGCCGTCCCCATCCGCAGCCAGTGCTGGGGTCGTGTATGAGTCCCATTTCCTTCCTGTCTAACAGGAGCTGGTGAGGAGGTGTCGGTGGGGCCGTGGCTCGGGAGCGCTCGTGTGGCTGTGCGCTTGCGCCGTGCTCTATCTCCGTTATTTCAGTGACGCGCCTGGGCTTTCCCACCTTGGCAGTCGTAGCCGCGTGGCGCAGCGCGGCCGAGCGTGCAGTGGAGGGGAAGTGGCCATGGCCAGGTCCGGCTTCCCTGGACGTTGAGCGCCTCCCCCTGCTGCTTGCAGTGGCCCTGCCCCGGGTGCCTTGCAGCGTCGGTGTGGGCGCGCTGCGGGGTGCAGGCCGCGCCCTGACACGTCCGCTCCCCCAGGCCCTGCTCCCCACCAGGCGCTGGTTCAACACCGTCCTGGACGACTCCCATCTCCTGGTTCACTGCTACCTCTCCAACCTCGTGCGCAGGGAGGAGGACGGCCACCTCTTCTCCCAGGTGAGTGCCCGTGGGCTGCCCCGAGTTACCAGGTTTGCCACGAGCAGAGCTAGCCACCGCGCTGACGCCGTCAGGAGCTCCAGTGAGTCACCCCAAAGGAAACGCACAAATCGTACCTTTTTCAGCTGTCACCCAGTGGTGACAGAACCCCAGGCTAACCACACACGTGCCCGCATATGACAGAACCCCAGGCTAACCACACACACACGTGCCCGCATATGACAGAACCCCAGGCTAACCACACACGTGCCCGCGTATGACAGAACCCCAGGCTAACCACACACACACGTGCCCGC